CCGCGAAACGATCGTGATTCAATAATTCGTTTCGAATAAGAGCGCGTGTAACTTTTGTGGCGGCGCCGCGATCCGCTCGTTAATTAGGTAATTTTCAAAAATTAATCGGTATGTGACGTATCGGGCGACTACAATATCTTACCTTCAAGGATTTTAAGCAATTAACTCATATGAATTTTTCACATGATGTTTAAACAAGTTTCTAATTATTTCGTTTTATATCCTTGGACTGAATAGTATTTTCCAAATGTAGTATAGTTACAGGGAAACCACTTCCTCAACAGTGCCAGGCATTTAAAAATCGTGCAATTCAAACACTGTTCGCGACATACATTTTTTTATTAAATACATTGTTTACACAAAAAGCACGTGTTCCCGGGGAGAAATATATACGTCATAGCGTTGTTAATTCGTGACAAGCGTTGAAGTGAAAATAATCAAGATACTACGCTAGTGACAGATAACCAAAGGAATACCTTGTTATCACCCACTGCTGATAATAAGACCACCGACATTAGGGACGTGTGACAATTGTGTCGGTTATGGCAATAGAGTGAGGATTGTAATTTTTGCGACAATGTGCAAAACTTGTCAATAGTAAGTGTTTTCCTTTTTTCTCATTTCCTGCAGGTATTTTTCCGTATCGCAGTATTTTCTCGCTTAAGTAAACGCAATAAGTGTACATAATCTGCTTACGCGATAATTTTATGTGTAAGTAGCGAATAATGAACGGAGTCATCTTGAATCCATTCAGTTCTCAAATTTCAATTATTATACATACACATCGCATGTTAGGCGAAACCAATTACCTATGTAGTATGCAAAGATCCTTAATTATTTCTTATGTAAGATAATGAGCGAAACTATACATATTTTCATCAATCACAGGATAGTTATAAACTTTACAAAAATAATTAGGTAGGTGCTACACTAAAAAGTCAAACGTCACAAAAACGCTTTATTTTATGCGCTTAATTAATTGGTATTACAAACTTTATTTCCTTTATCAAATGAAAATGTGAATTTTAATTATGGAACCACTTTATTACCACTCCGGTTATAAATACCTGGTTTGATTGCCGACAAATTGTTTTTTAAATGTTTTATCGTCTAATCCATAAAATGGTTCAAAAGTGAACCAATGCGTGACTGATAGGCATAATTTCAAGCGAGGCCAACCAAAAAAAGAATTCATTGACAATTTACAAACCAAATTTTAATTTGACTACTTATTAATCTTTAATTCTTTAACTTTTCTGAATTTACCGAAGGAGAAACTCGGGGAGAAATTACCATTGGGCATTCGGATTTTCTTAATGCTCTTGGATCTTCATGGATATCATTGGAAATCCAAAAGATTCATGTTTTTGCAACTCCGCCTGTTTGAATTCCCTTATACTTCTACGGATATGCAAGTAGGTAGGTACGTGCATTGGCAAGCTGGGATTATGGCTCTGTCATACCGAGATGTTCGCAAATTATTCTTATTCGTTTTATTTTGTTGGTGTTTTTTTGGGAGCTTTAGTGAAATGTTTTTGGGAAAGTGAAATAGGTAGGTTTTTTGAAAATTTGTACTTAGGAGGTACTCTGAAGGCCGAATCGATATAAAATATTTTCAAAATGGTCGCACTTCCGGAAATACCGGAAGGAGCTCGTAACTTCGTTATTTTAAATAGCAACCCCTATTTTTATTGCATTTTTGAATTGTAAGGAAAATTGCAGTTCTTTTGATACCCACATGTCGATAGACGAGTAGGCGGCATCTCCAAAATGCTGTTTTATTTCATAAAATCATCTCCGATAAGCGGCCACCATACTTATACATAAATAAGATCAGATTTAGGGCTGACATTCACAATTTAAACCTTACGCATAAAGGACTACTAACTATACCTCAAACAGCACTATTTGAGCGGTCATTTAGTTACACCATTGCTGTGATATACAATGCATTACCGGTCGCCTCTTAAGTACAAGCACCAACGTCGTCCTCTTAAAAGTTTACCAACTCGTCAGTTAAAAAAACAATTGTTTGGCCTTTTATCACTCGATTCATCATTTCACTGTACACGTACTTAGTAATAAGTAGTTACTCTAATATAATTTTGTTTTCTTTCGCTGTTTTTCCCTGTACAAATATTCTTTGTTTTGTCATGGTGTAGATGGAAGAGCAGCGTTTTGCTGAATCTATGCCATG